AAGAGAGAAAACGAGACAGTGATAGTCGGTTTTGTTTTAGCAATTGAAAAGGAGAGCAGGAGAAAATCTCAGACAGTCACGAATATCAGTCGAAAAAACAGAAAGAACAACAGTAATCATAAACTCCTTTTCCCCCAATCCCTAATCCTCTCTAACAAAAAAAAATAAATAAACAGAACACCCCGACTACAAGTACCGACCTCGTCGCAAGCCCAAGCCAGTGACCAATGGAGGAGGTGGCGGTGGTGGAGGACATCACAACTCCAGCAGCAAAAAGGACATCAACGGCGGCGGCGGACACCTGCTGAGCCATCACTCCCTGGGCGGTGGTCACCACGGTCACCACCAGGCCCATCACCCTCATCACCCCCACCACCACTCATCAGCCGGTTACCCGGTGATGACGCCAAACGCCGCAGCGGCGGCTGCAGCGGCCGCTGCGGCAGCAGCCGCCGCCGCCGCCAACGCGCACGCCTACAGCCACGCCTTTGACCCGCTCAGAGGGTTCAATGGAAACTTTGGAGCTAATCACCACAGCAGCCAGCACCATCAGCAGCAGCAGTTCGGCGGCGGCGGCGGGGCCGCCGCCAACTCACTCTTCGACCCAACTTCAGCCCTTCAGGCGACTTCAAGCGAGTCGGAGAAGGCAGCCACCGCTCGATCCTTTCCCTCCGCCTTCAACGCCGCCGCCAACATGTACGGCTGCAATCCGCTGACCAACACAATGGCAGCGGCGGCGGCCGCAGCCATGCAGGCCCTCTCCGCGCAAAGTCAGCTCAGCCCGGCGACGATCAAGGCTGCTGCGGCGGCAAACTCCTCCGTTTCAGCCGCCGCCACCTCAGCCACCGACGCCTTCAGCCTCTTCAGCAGTGCCCACCAGCAGCACCAGGCACAGCAGCAACAGCAGCATCAGCAGTTTCTGCAACAGCAGCAGCAGCAGTACTTCAACACCAGCTCGCTTCTCTCCACCGTGCAGAATCAGCTGTACAATCAGATGAACTACAACAATGGATCAGGTGGAAACGGAAATGGAAACGGAGGCGGCAGCTCAAACAGCACCACACCCTCGCCATATTCTCTAGCCGCGGCAGCGCAGACGCTAGCCAGCAGCGCCCTGGGCACCACCACCAGCACCAACACCGGAAGTGGTGGGAGTGGCAGTACCGGCAGCAGCGGCAGTGGCAGCGGAGGAGGCTCGCCCTTCAACCCCTTCGCCTACTTCATGATGAAACCGGANACCACACCCTCGCCATATTCTCTAGCCGCGGCAGCGCAGACGCTAGCCAGCAGCGCCCTGGGCACCACCACCAGCACCAACACCGGAAGTGGTGGGAGTGGCAGTACCGGCAGCAGCGGCAGTGGCAGCGGAGGAGGCTCGCCCTTCAACCCCTTCGCCTACTTCATGATGAAACCGGAGACGATGGCAAAGCTGTCGCCGCCGCAGATTGTCTAGAAGGAGTAAGACAAAAATTCTTTCAACTTTTCTCACCCCCGATTCCCAAGACTAGACCCAGTCATCTTCTTTTTCTCCTCATCCTCATCATCGTGTATTTATTTTATCAGCTAATCTCATCCCCCCAATTTTAGTCATTTTGTACATAAACTCCCCATAATTTTTCTCCACTACTTTCATTCCTGTAGGAAGGTTCTTCTACAGAAAGTCTAATCAAAATGTACACATTTTTTTCCCAAGTTAACTTCTCTAGAGATCTTACTATTTACCCCTTCTTCCTCTCTTTCTTTATCAAGTTCACACCTCGCTCTAGTTCTTTCATCTCTCACTCTTCTCACAATCCACACAGTTCCTCTTCCTGTTATAATGACACTACCTTTGCACACAACCACGCACAACCACTAATTATATCTAATTCATCTTCTCTCTCTTTTGATAAGAAAAAACTACATTATCATCATCATTATTACCATCATCTAATGATAATAATAAAAAAGT